GAAAGTAACCCTACAAAGGCAAGACACCTGCATTTGCAAAGTCCCACGATGCCCAGATATTCAGGTCTGGATTTGCTTCTGCACTGGTTTCTCCAGTGCCAGGGCAGTCAGCCGGTACAGCCCAGAGGAGGTGCATGGAAGCAAAGAGTTCTGCTGGGATCCCTGAGCCTGGAATTCTTACACACTTACTTGAGGGTCAGTCCCATGCATTCAGTTGGGCTTTTTTCACAGTAGACTTCGATAAGATTACACTGTTAGAAGGCCAAATCAAGAGATCATCCAGCAGCCCACTCTGTCCCCACCACCACTGCCCTGTGGCAGGATGCACACTATCAGACGCATCCTAGATGTCAAGACCTAGAGCTGGCCACCTGGGCTGTCCAGAAACGCTGCCACATTTCACCAGTCCCTGAGGACTGTCCATCACTATTTGGGCGAATGGACACAACCTTGATTGTGAACAAATGGCACCCGAATTCTAGCACCAAAAATAATGAGCCATAAAAGACAAGCCACTCTGCCCAAGGAAGGCATGGTTGCTGGGGTTCTGGCAACCTGAACAACGATTTTGATTTCACAGTTTTCAGCACCAACATAAAACTATTTTCCAGAAGACAAACTCTGTATCCTTGTGCACATGCACTCACAACCCATTCTTCTCCTCCTCACTGCAAGCACATGAAGCGACACTCTCACACTTTTTCAGGACCCCTCCCAAATCTTTTATCAGCCTGTAGCCACCCGCCATCTCCATTTCCAATGGAAGTGCTCTGAGCCCTGATGGAGGCCTTCGCGTTGCTTTGAAACAGGCCCAGCTGTCAGTAAGAAGATGTGGTGGTGTTGGAGAGGCAGCACACCTTGGTGAATGCCAAAGTGGGTGCTCAGAGCAGCAGCATGGGCACCAAGGCGCGTCCTCCAGGTATAAAGGTAGTCACAGGTGAGCACTGCAACTCCTTCAATCAAATCAGGCCTAGGTCTTTCCGTTCCAAGTGGCTTCCACAGCAGAAAAAGAATGGTAGCCAGTTCCATTGAATCACATAAATCCAGCAATTGCTATCCAAGTCAGTATCCAGAATTTAAGAGAACAGGATGCAGCAACTTCTTAGTCACCTGCATCTACAAACCTTCCCATCATTTCACTCACCTTTCCCTTAAGACAAATCTATAGCGATTTTTAAAAAGAGCTGCATTTTTGCAGTCTCACAGATTTATGCCTAGATTCTAACACAGAAGAGCCTAACAACCGGTTGCCAAGAACAAGCTGGCATAAATTGGATAAATTATTTGCCCTGCTGGCCGAAGAGCAAAAGGTACTTGCACTATAATGGATATTCATGCATGCTCTCTGCTACCTGCCAAGTGTTGAGCAGGAGCTTGAAAATATGCCCTGCAGAAGCATCTGCCGCAAGAAGATAGATAAAGAGGCAAGAGGAGGTCCAGCAACAAGCCACGACTGTGCCAGGAGAGATGCTCAGCAGGGACCACCTACACATTACTCCTTTCTGGAAGGCAGCCCGGGATGGATCCTGGGTTCAGCGTGGGTGACCCACAGGGCTGAAAAGCATGTGAAACCTACCCAGGGAAGGCAAATGTGCACAACAGCTGGAATATGGCCAGAAACAGAATAAAACCGCTTAGAGTAAACCCCAGAAGGCTGACCTTTGTCTCCCCAGAGGTCAGCGAAAATAGCCTGACTGGATCTGCACAGAATGCTAAACCACAGCATGAGCTGTTGAATCCTGGTGCTGCGTCAACACAGCCGCAGTAACAAACCATTACTAATTAAACGGAAACAACCTAGAAAGAGAACCCAAGTGCATCTTGCAAGGCACTCTCTTTCTTTTACAAGGTTATAATCTTCATAGATAGAATGAAAGGTATTACCAGATAAAAACCGCATCAGTTTGATTCTAATGATGCACTCTGACAGAAGCATTCGTGCTGAGATGCTGCGACTTTTGACTGAATCATTCAATGCTGTGGGAAAGATGACATTTTCCTGGCTAAAATCAGGAAAGATGTGCTTCAAAATAAGGAGACTGAAGAAAGGAAGAATAACTGCTAAGCAATGTAAAAGTCAAGGTTAGGATGTCATTAACATGAAAATTATAACATTTCAGCTTGCTGCTATTCAGGCACTAGGATTACAGTGTGGGGTTTTTTCATGTTGCTCTTTCCTGCCATTGGAAAGTTCTCAAAAGAAGAGCCTAGAAGTGTGCTTGGCTGACCCATTCATGGACAGTCAAGCTTCCTAGCAGAAAAGTGTTCAATATTTAAAGAGCACTTGGGGATGCTAATTTGTTGGCATGTTAAGATTAAGGCATGCACATGCTTCCAAAATGATCTCAAATAATTTCTTTAAGAGACAAGAGCAATAATCCTGAACCTTTCAAGAATTCTCCTGGAATCACAGTAATATTAAATATAGAGTACAGTGTCACATTTTAACGATAAAGTAGATCTGTGCTCACAGAACACGGTTGTTTGCTTTTGTGGCTGAAACTGCAAGCAATCTTTAACCACACTGAAGGGGGCAGTTTCGGGGGGTGGGGGGTTACAAGTGAGATCTGGCCTGGAGTTGGCTCATCACTAATGGGCCAGACTGCCTCCCAGAACAAATCAAGTGGGCCGGACACATCAAGGGAGTGGGGCCCCCAAGCTGCATCCCCTCCTGTAATATAATCAAGTGCCACCATGGGCACTTCCTCCCTTCTTCCCCCTTCTGTGCCCACTGCTGCACAGAGAAAGCTGTTGCAGCCCCAGCTAAGCTGGGTGCCCCCTCCTATACTGTTCTGATCCATACCGGGTTACAAGCAGCAAGGAAAGGGACAGGGCTGGGGCGTATAAAGATCAGTGATGACATGAGGATTCTCTTCCTCAGATCAGGGGCAAAGCCCACAAAGCATATTCAAGTTTCTGCAGGCTGGCACAGGCGCCTCTGCAGGCTCAGCTGGGTCCATGGACCAAAGGATACCCTTCCTAATCTAGCTCAGCAGACAACAGTGGAGATATGAAGGCTTTGAAAACCAAATTTCTTTTTTTCCCAGAGATTCTAACTGGAACACTTCTTAAACAGTCTTTTATAATACTATTGTTATAGTAAATTGACACCACTGCAAGATTCCAAAGATGATAAACATTGGTGCTGTTATGTTTTTTGACTGGATTATTAAACAAGGAAACCTTTAGATCTTGATGCTGGAAAATATACTTTCAATGTCGCACAACACAAAAGAAATCCAGCAATTCAGGTCAGTCCAGGAATCTGCCAAGCATATCACTGCTACAACACAGTGGTGAGACTTTTCTGTTACACAGCCTTGGTCTCCTCTTGCTTCAGATTCCTCCCCTTTCTGCATCAAGTGAATCCAACTGCCGAATATTTCACAGTTCATCCACACAAGCAAGGAACAAACATATGAGCTGAACAGCTCTTTTTACTTCACGTATGTTTCTCAAGAAGCTCAAGGTGAAAGCTCAGAATAACTTTCAGAAACCAGTCCTGTTTAGAGGGATGTAATTACATACAAAGGGCTTCACGATACCTGGCTTTCAGCAGTATGCAGCAGTTTGTCAAATTCAAGTAGCACTAGTGGAACTCTGCCAGTCCTTCCATTGAGCAAGCAGTGACCTGTTATGCAACCACAAGCATATTCCACAACCACTTGCACAACCATGCTTACACTAACCTAGCTTCAGCTGGATTCTTCTCTTGTGCATAGCTCAGGACCTAGCTTACCTTAGTACATTATTTGCACTAGCAGAATGACACAAAATAAGATCTTGCCCTTTGTTTAGGGCAGTTGCTATGACGCTTGCAGCTCCTACTTCCAATGCACTGCATCCCCAGTTAGTAAGAACACAAGAGCATGTTTGATGAACCCAAAGGCTTACCTAGACAAGGTGGACACAAGCACATCACCACCCATCTTCTTGTGTTCCTACTAAAGGTAATGTGCATCATGCCCCGCAGCCACTGATAGGCTTCTCCTCCATGAATCTGCCTAATCCCCCCTTTTTAAGCCTTCCAAGCTGGTGGTCATCATAGTCTATCTACTGTACATCATGATGGTGATGATGATAATAATATACTATAGAAGATGCCAACTCTGGAAAGCTATTCCTAATTCCAGGGGAATTTGTGAGCTCTTTATTCTAGAAGAAAAAAAATACACACACACACACTTTCTGTTCCTGCATGTCCCTATGCCCAGATAATAAAATTATATTTTGTTTGCTATAATGCTGACTGTTTCTATTTTCAACCATTATTCTATTCCACTGGCAAAACTAAGGTATCTTAGAATGAAGCAGCTTGCAGTTCCTTTTCTAATAATGGTTATATTGGGAAATACCTGAATAAATTATGAGGCATTTATACTTGCATTCCATAAATATAGTCCCTTAACGGGCAATTTTATATAACAACTAAGAAATATAGTTTTCATATCCTTAAATAAATAAAGTTGATGGTTAATGATGGCATTTTCCATATATCTACTTTTTCTCCAAATTGTTCAAATGTACATTTTCCCCACAGAGTTTCCCAAATGTTACTTCTACAGCCATAGAAAAAGTATTGGAACATCCTTGTCATTCTTTATAAGTTAAAAATAGGAATTCTTCCCCTGGTATTGCTTTTAGAAGAGAGAGCTCAGGGAACCCAATTAATAAAGACACTGGTAAATCAGCACCATGGCTTGGGAACCAAATCTAGGGCAGGGCCAAGGCATTTCATACGGATGAGAGACAGCTAGATTTGCCCCCATTCCACTTGCACTCCTCTTCCCTCTTCCCTAGGAGGTACCAGCTCAAGACAGGACAGGACAAATGTTGCCCAAGTCCTTGATCTCTCATGCAGATATAATTAGCTCACAGGCACTTCTGCACAAAATGCTGAAGCAACAGCCAAATGGAGGCAACACCCCCAGTAGCCGAGGAGACAAGATCAGGACAGCATACAGAGCAAATTAACAGAAAGCGAGATGTGTGCTACTCACCCCTGCGGCAAAGCCCAGGCTACCATCCAGGATCCGTCTCTGCAAATTAAGGAACTTTGATTATAAACTGCAGAAAACAAGAACAGGGGGAGGAAGCAGCAACTTGCTGTGTAAGAGCAGCATGATACCAAGTTAAAGATCCAGCCATAATTTAGCAAAGCAGTTAAGCTACCAGACAGGATCAGACACTGCTCTGTCCGGATACATCAACTTAGTTGTACACGTTTAGCTCTTCTGGCTGTGAAAATCAAAAGCATACTTGCCTATCCTATCTGCTATCCTACTTCCACCAGCTCTCTTCCAAGTTATGTTCCTATTTGACAGGTGGGAAATCCAGTCAGACAGCAACCTGCAAGTCTACCTAGAAAGTCCATGACTGAGCAGGGCCAGCAGCTTAGGTCTGCAAACATCATACTCCAAATCAGGGATGGGGAACATGAGCCTTCCAACTGTTGCTGGACTGCCATCAGCCCCAGGCGCAAGTAAGGGGGGAGGAATGATGGGCGTTTCAGTCCAGCAACATCGGGTGGCCACATATTCCCTATCTCTGATCTATATGCACCCGTGAATCCATGAGGAGAAACCTTTATACCACCATCCCATGAGAGACCCAAGCATCTCTGGACATTTAAAAAAAATGCAAAATCAAGACTACATCATTTAAAAGGACTAAGCAACTTAACATGGCAATCACTCATTACTAACTCCTGTTTGGCACAATCAGTCCTCAAGTAAAGTGGCATCACTGGCTGTAAAATGTTCCATTTTCCATCCTCCATTGACAAATCTGCATAGTAAAAGATGGAACAGAAGCACAAGACTCACCTGCCCACTGGAAAAGACAAACACAAGAGCTGAGCCAGCAGCCGTCAATCCCCAGGTGAAGAAGGTTCCAAGCAAGGCTTGCAACACTGGACTGTACCCTAATAACATGGTGAGTGCTCTCTGGAGTGATGGCCTAAGAAAGATGTAACAGTTAGCTAAGAAATCTTCAACATTAAAACCAAACCCATTCAAAAATGTATTCTTTTCTAATGAAAATAACCCTACCAAAAAGGAAAAAAAGCGGGGGAGGGCGGGGGAATGGACACAATTAATACCATTAAAAAAAGAAAAATGGCTTTGGATCCAGGCAATATTTAGTTGCTTTTATTCTGTAGCAATTGATGTGATCACATAATGATGAGGAGAGGACTGTAGAATCCAGTTACCATGGATGCCTGGCTTTAAATCCCCACTCACAAATCCCATTACCTCTAGACACTGTCTCATGGGCCCCAAGATATTTCGCATTTCCTGCTCTAAGGTGGGATACAATCCTGAGCTCAGATCTGGGAATCAGAGCACCTTCCCTCTCCCCCTTGCAGCTTGCCAAAAAGAAAACCATGCCAGCCACCTCTCCAGAGCTTGGGAACACAACCTCAGAGACAGAAAAAAACATGGGAGAACCAGCATTCCAGCTACCCTGAGCCTCTGCCAGCCTCCTTCCCTCCCCCATTCTTAAGTGCTCCACTCCAAAAGTAATAAAAATAAAGCCATCTAGCAAAAATGCAGTATGTGTGAATGAGAGGGCTGTCCCACCCTGCTTATAAACTTCCCAGTTAGGGACTTTGGAAACAGCAAAGATGCAACAAAAAAGACTCCACCCGAAATCAGTTTAATTACGTTTGTATTTAAATAGAAACCTTCACAGGTTAAAAATATTTTTATATAAGATAAATATAACTTTTCTCTTGGTTGCACGCTTGCCTAACATTAGTTGAGCTCATCGGCAGTGTTGAAAATAGAGCAATGTTATAGAGTGTGCCCTGAAAAGAACAAATTGGTAACAGCAAAGAAAGCAAAGGGCTCAGAAACAGTACATGATTTTGGTTCTTGGAACTGTTTCTAAGGGAATAGAAAATCAAGTTATTAAGCATTGCTTTAACAGTTTATAACCAAGGTTATTCCTGCAATAACCATGTAAAAAGTGCACCTACCAACTCTGTAATTTGCAGCTTGTTTCCTTGTTTTTGACTTCCTGAATTGGGCTGAACACATTTTAAAAACACCTCTGTAGAGAAGACCTTCTTGTTTGTTACAGTCCACTTACAAATGCTCCCCCCAAAGAGGTTTACCTAGCACCACCATTATATCAAAGGGTTTTTATTTTAACAGATTTTTAATTTTATTCTTTGACTGTTTTTTGAATTTTACAGGTATTTCATTTTGATATTGTTGTTATTGCATTACCTTAGAAGCATTTTATACATTGTGAAATAAAAAGTAAACACTGCTAAACTTCTCACCATAACATCAAGCTGTGATATGGAACACACCACAAATTTCCCTAAGGGATAACTAGCGTAGCACTCATTTGCAGTTTGTGCTCAAAGCACAATCCAGTAGTTACGTGCACATATTATGCAGTTGGGCTGGAAAAATGCAACAGCAAAGTGCTTAGCTATAATAAACTAATGTCACATAAGTCCCAAATAGTTCAGTCCAAGTATACAAGTTAGGGCACAATCCTATGCATGTTTAATTAGTTTGAAAAAAAAGTGCCACAACTCCCAACATTCTCCAGCCAGGATAGCTGAGGAATGCTGAAAGTTGTGAAGACTTTTTTCCTGCCCAAGCATGCATAAGATTGCACCTACTGGAGAGGAAGTGCCCCAGGTAACTGAAATATATTAACTCCCTCTTTGCCCAATCCAACAGCTACCCTAACTTCACCAAGTTAATTACACGGAAGACTTCCTGAATTTGTAGTCATACTGATCTAGTGAGCCTAATCTACACATTCTTTTTGAAGTTGCGTAAGCACAGAGCTACACAGTCTTTCTGGAATACAAACTGCACCCCAATGAATGAATGATTTTGCTTCTCACTCTGGAAAATACAAATGCAAAATAAGGGCGATTCCTTGCATTAAAACGTTTAGAATCAATTCGTAGGGAGTATTAATAAATACAGTTTCCAGACAGGAATTTTCATGTCTAAAATCTTGTCTAGGTCTATAATTCCAGCTTAAAAAATAAAAGCATTTCTACCATATAGAAGACAATACAGTGTTCTGATTCGTTGGGTGTTTGTTTGCAGTGTACCTCCGGAGTTAATTCTTGGCATTAACAACAGTAATAACATTACATTAAAGAATAATCAACTCACTACATCAACCACTTCTAGGACCACCCAGACGTTGCCAATTACCGCAGATGCTCCAATTCCGGCAGTCACTTCCTGGTTCCTCTGTACACGTGTCTCTCAAACAGACGTAGCTCCGCCCACTAATTTTCTTCAGCCACTGGCAAGCTAGTCCGGGAAAGCGATGTAGATTCTGTGGTGCATGTCTCTTCGTTTCGAAAAAATGACGCGGCGGGCACAGTTTGTGTGGACGTGTTTGCCTCGGTTTCGTGGTCTCGTGGAATACTGAGCCGGGGATGCCAAATTCTGTCTAACTCCTGTTAGTTGCCAAATACTACAAAGAAAGAAAATGCGCTTACAAACTCGATTAAAAGCGACCTTCTTTGCTTCTTGGGGCCACGCAGAACCAAGAACGTATAAAGAAATCCGAGTATTTTCATAATTAGGCTTGGGTCGTGACAGTTAAGTTTCTTGTTAGAGGCAGGTCAAAATTAACCTAAGACGGTATTATCACTGATTTCCTCTGTGAATTTTGTTCGCCTTTATCATCACATAGAATTGTTGCAAGCTGTACTTTGTTAGTTTCATTGCTTACAATTATATTCTCTGTGCCCATGTGTACAACACACACTGGCCAACTGAGAGAAGCCTTTTTATTTAAGCGGCATTTTAAATGTTAATATTACTGAATTTTATCTGGCCAGGGCGGCTTATTTTATATTGTATGTTTGTATTTTATTCTAATGTTTACATTTTTAATTTATGATTATAATTATTTAATTTATTGTTGTAAGCCGCTCCGAGGCTTCGGCAAATGGGGCAGCATAAAAATGTTTTAATAAATAAATAAATAAGCCTTTCATGCATCTAATGAAATAAACTCTAATCCATGAAGTTTATGGCATATAATAAATCTATTAAAGTTTTGGTGCCAAAGACCCTCCAGTTTTTGTTTTGTTTCACTCTACAAATAGAAACTTTGCTCATGGTAGCTCACATCCTCCACAATTAAATAGCTTTAGTTTCAAGAAAACAATACATAAAATATGTTTGAGCCAGCTGTTTTCATCAGGCCTGTCCAGTGCAACCATTCGATTTTGAAAAGATCAAAAATGACAGTCTAATGTTACAATAGCTGTGTAAATGGTGGGAAATACATGGAATAAGATGCCCCCACCCCCACTGCCTTTTTGGTGGGATGGCTGTGCCTAAAATAGGAACCCTTCAGGTCAAGCTATTGCCAGTTTTGAAAGGGCAAGAAAGAATATAAGAAGTAGTTCTTGAGAACTTGCTATTCATTTCAGGCCTATCATTTCTACAGGGAACGGACAGGAGGTATGATATTGAGATTCTGCTTATGGCTCTACAGTCCCCAGAGGGAGCTGAGGGCCAAACCCCTTATCTTTTGGGACCATTGTTACTATGCATTGCTACTGAGAGTGAAACACCAGGCCAAGGCAACACAGTTTGCTGACCTTCCCATTCCATTTACAGAAGCTGCCAAAACAGGCAGCTGTTTTCCATTGCACCTGAGCACAGTAAACCAGTTGGGATGCAACCCACCTGGGATGCAAAGCAGGTGCCATGGGACACACAGTTCTGACAGCCAAAATTTTCCTGCAGTTCCTCACTCAACAGCTGCTGCTTGAGGTGGTCACCCCACCGCCAGCCCTGCCTCAATCTGGACTCTAGTCCATGAAAGTTTGTAGAATAAGAGACATTTGTCTCTAAGATGCCTCAAGGCTTTTGCTGAAACTAACATGGCTGCCACATGGATATTGACAGTGTATCGAGCAAGGAATTGGAGACAGCACAGGAGGAAAGAGAGTTTTAGTCAAGACTGAACTGCACTATTTCTGGCTTGCCATGTTGCTTCTTATTGCTCTTTGGTTACATTGGAATGGTTTTTAATTAAAAAGGAGGGTTCAGCTTTATGTAGAAGAGGAATTACAGCAGATGCAGCTTTTTTCATTGCTACTGGGAGGAAGCAGGAAAACTAGGCATACAGCAATTATGATGATACATTACATTTTGAAAATTTCTAAGAAGAGTTAATAATTAAATAGCCTGCTTGGTGTAGGTTCTTGTTGTGTAGGAAACTGGCACTAGACTTCCAGTCATTAACTCTTGCCACAAAACACCAGCTTGCACAACTAGAAACCTAGAAAGATTAATACACTGAAAACCAACCTGTTGTAATACACCATAAGTTCACACAGGTATCAACCACACAAACTCTTTCAAACCTGCCACCTTTTTTTCACCTGAAACTCTGAGTCTGTAAGGAGAATATGCCAGGAAGAAATGCTCCAAGTTAGTGAAGGGACACCTGTGAAATTCTCCATGCTGTGCTGCCTTTGAAAGCAGAAGGAGCTCCCTAGGGCTGGGGTTGAGGTAGCAAAGAGAAGACAGCCTTTCCTTAGCCTGTAGCTACTCCAACGCAAGAAACAGTGGCTTTCTGACCCCTTCAAACCTTCCTTGCCAATTCACAATCTTTGCTATATCCAGAGAACACCGCAGAATAGACAATGCTCTTTTAAAATCACATTACTAAGTCTGCTTACCTGAAAATATGTACAATTGAACTCTATCAGAACTTTCTTTCTGATTATATTATATAAAAGGCCTCTACAAAATAATTATACTGAAGGAGATATAGTAGGCAAATGCAGTTCTGGAGGAAAAACTGCTATAATAAAAAATATGGAGCATGAAGTATGTTGTAAAACAAACGTTAGTGAAGTAGACTCCAAATCATCTGGACATTCAACAGTGGTCTGAGCTCCAAACTTCTCTTGGAGTTTGAAAACGCTTCTGCATCTTCCTGCTAAAGCACAACATCCTCTGGCAAAAATAGGCCCATAACTCACTGTGGGTGAACACAGGTATACATCTCACAGCATTACCTGTTCTGCTAGCAGGCAGGATTAATAGGCCGTCACTCAGCAGAAGCCCACACTTATCGATTGCCCATTTGCACACAATTTAGAGGGAAGCAGAATGACCAACCCTGGTGAGCCAATTGGCCTGGCAAGTCAATAGCTCAGCTTGATAATTGGATGTTTTCTGCAATAACATCCTTTTTGCCTATGACGGGTGATCTGACTGCCAGCTCTAACCTTAGCAGACTTCATACTCTTCTATCAGCAAAGAACTGTTCACTTTGGCTGTGCCTATTGTCCCAACTCTGAAAATAAAAGAAAGATAGAAGTGACAGCTATGCAGAAGTAAATCTATGTTGGAAATCCAAAGTTTATATTATTTTATTCATTTTAATATATTATGGTCACAATCAGTTTCATGAATAGTTATTTCCACATGAATGTTTGTAAACAGAAGGTAGGGACTTCTCACTAACCTGGCTGCAATCCTATACACACTTACCTGAGAATAAGTCCTATTAGATTCAGTGGAGCTTCCTTTTGAATAAACATACAGGATTGTTCCGTAAATTAGAGTCAGCAAACATTATGAAATATTAAGTCCCCATACAATGCAGGCTTCTCTTGGCCTTTTAACTCTCTCTGCATTTGACTGGTGTGTTAAAGGAACTAATAAAAGATGGAAGGAACTGATTGACTCACCAACCAGAGACATTCCAAAAGGCCTTGACCTTTCTTAAGGGGAAGTGGCAATGTCCTTCTTAATAGGTAAATATTTTAATTTTAAAAAATCAGGATTTATCACGACTTATACCTCATCAAGCCAAACAGCCCTCCAGATATATATGGCCAGAAAATTAGAAACAACCAGAATCCTTTTTGTTGCCTAACTGAGGAGTAAACCAAGGATGAGGTTACAAAGGTGTATTTGCATTTCTCAAGCAGGATTTTGTTTTTCAAGGAGTGATAACCAAAGGAAGAATTGTTGTCACAGCAGGTGTGGGGTAACCTGAGTTTAACCCTTTCCTCCTTGCCAAGCCCCTAAAGAAAATCTCTCCTCTGTAGGCATTATCTAGATTAGGGGGAAATCTTTCCACATTGCCTGTGGAGGCTTTCCACGCAAAGCAAATACTA